ATTTGTTATTCCATCTCAATTTTTTTAATCTCCAATCGCAATAACGTAAAGTATTATTACCCGCGAACCAATGAGTCAAATTTAAGAAACAACCCACTGTTAGAAAGATGAATGGCTACGCTTTAAAATGAATGTAAACATTAACGTTTTCGTCTATTATTTGTTTAGCAATTTACATTTCAGTCGAGGATTGCGCTTTTTTTGATACACCCTGTATATATACCCGTTTCATTAAAAAAATGAGAGTAACCGACCAAGTTAAGTGCGCTAAAATAATAAGATATCGGCCTTATTGAATCGTTATTGTTGCCATAGTAACGGTAATGACGTCACTTTTATTACCAATGTCTGACGCTTTGATTGTTGCTCTATATAAGGTATTCATGTTTTGTGTTCCAGCGAGTAACATTCTTCAAAGGGTTTGACTTTAATTATGAATACTCCATATTTTAATGAACAGTAGGGAGCCTAGCCTGCATGCAGTCCCAGACTCCCAAAGGCTATAGGGAGCCACCTTAACACACTCATAAAACAAATTCCCCATTTAGGATTTTTGCGGATTTTGGATATACATTATGCTTCTCTGGTGTAAAAATCATCTTTATACCATTTTTTTCCCGGTCAATATGCTCAACGACCAGACTATGCTCTCTCGTGTTGTTATTCAATGCATGCTCTCTTTCTTGTAAATGTTGATACGCTTTGTACCGATTCACTTGTTACTACGCGTCTTGTTTATAAGATTTTTTAAAAGAAACAGTATTGTCTAGGACTGACCCAATATTAGCAAATGTAAACATTTGATAATAGTCGAACAGAGAAATGCCTGTAAGTATAGACGAAATTTCAGTCATTGGTTTATCTGGATTTAGTACATAATTCGTATTCGGTAATTATAGTAAGACTTTAGCCTTTTTTGGTTTCTATTAATCATTATATTGTGTTAACATACTATAATCTATATCACAAATTTACAGTGTCAGATGCGCACAGACCGTCATTGGCGTCATACGAATAGACATAAATTTTCGAGTTTTCTAGCCTACTTCTAACATTTTTAAAGTTTTCGTTGTGAATCACCTGTTTATCTCTAATTCATTAATCATTTGCTACTTATATTTATTTGATAGTGTCATATACTGAATAATGCGTTTACACACAAACAATCCTGGATATGATATAGAAGATGCAAGCTGTCCATTAAAAAATAACGGTATTCTATTTCACAAAGCAAAAATTTAAATCTCACTTGTATTATTAAGAATGCATATAAGCAAAAAATTAAAGCTTATTAATTTCAAAACGAAAGCTGTTTACAAAATTTATATGGGTGGTGAACACTACTAAACAGTGCTCATTGAAAGACATGTATAATATAGTGACATATAATTTGTCGTTTGACTTATCTGTGGTGTATGATTTTAATACCGTAGATTTTCAACAGACAGCTGTACTTTGACATACACCATGATCGCTGGTTTCAGCAATGCCAAGGGCCAATTTTATAGTCTTTTGACGGGCTTTAAGTTTTTTTGATAAGGCCTTTATATAGATCAACAATCTGGACACAGTTGGCGATATTTCGAACCACATTGTTCGGTCTATAGATATATATTTTCTTGTTGGTTTAATATCGCCACGCTGCACAAGCGGCAAGCGTGCTTTCTTTGGCAAGTCTATAAGTTGAATATTGAAATCTGATCCAACTTGCTTGAATTGTAACTCGACACCAGATTATAGAGTAGAGCGTCACGATATAAATATTAATTTAAGAGTTCTCTTTACGATTTCTTGTTGCAAATTTACAGTAAATTTCATCGCCTAAGTTGCAATTTTAAAACGCTACAAACACGCTCCTTTCCCACCCCTCTCACAGTTACAATTAAATTTACCTCCCAGAATCTGGGAGGCACGTGACCAGCCGCAGCCAGGGTCTCTCCCAGATGACAGAAGGAGAGACCCTGGGAACGAGGTTGGCATTTCATTTGTAACAAGAGCTTACTTATCCAATGACTAGGGGGAATTCATATTATTTTGTATAATTTAATTTTGCCAATCCAACACCACAAAATACTTTCATGTTTAGTTTCACCGAGCAAGATACACAAGCGGCTTCATACACATTAGCTTCTATTTGATTTTGAAACAATTGCACAACGGAATAACTAATATTCGTGAAAACACACTTTAGATACATCTTTTTAGATATAAAGTTTCTTTTTTGACCGTATTTCTTGCTTTGATGTGAATGTATAAGCGAGTTAAAAACAATTAGAATTTTGGCACTCCTGTGCGCCAGCCATCTCTGAAATGCTAACAGTTAGTATTACGTAATATTTAATCTATGACAATGTTTACAAAATGTGTACACATTTGAGACATGCGCAGAATGGACTGTAACCCAGCTTTAATATCGATATGCTTTGTGCGCTTGTGTAAAACAGGATTTTTTGACTTTGTGATTGTCCCTTGATTGTCCTCGTTAATAGTGGTTGGACTCGAACAATTTATTTGCAAGTCCTTGCTTAGTTGTCGTAACCATACACTTTCTTGAGTTGCTAAGCAAAGGGCGATATATTCGGCTTCAGCTGGTGAAAGTGCTACCGTAGGTTGCTTCTGGCTTGCCCAACTAATGGCACCATTGGACATTACAAATACGTTGCCAGAAGTAGATCTTCGATCATGTGAATCTGCGGCCCAATCTGCGTTAGAATATCCTTCCATACCTTTATCACTTGCTTCGTACTGGAGATGCAGTTTAACTGTTCCCTTCAGATAGCGAAATACACGATTGACAGCAGTAGGATGTGCTTCATTAGGGGACGAGTTAAACTTTGCTAGAGTACCAACTGCGTGAGCTATGTTGGGTCGAGTAGCTATAGCTGCATAAATAAAACTTCCAACCATCGATTGGTACTTAACAGGATCTACTGCTTTGCTGTAACCATCATCTTTCACCAGCTTCACATTCACATCCATCGGCGTCGATACAGGTTTACAATCTTGTAACTTGTACTTGTGCAATATCTTGTGAATATACTGCTCTTGGCCCATTTGCAAAACACCGTCCATCGTTTTAATGTTTACTCCAAGACAGTAATGAAGCTTACCCATATCTTTCATCTTGAAACGAGCTGCGAGACTGGCCTTCCAGTCGATCATTTCTTGCTCGGTTTCAGTTAAGAGTATGAGATCATCAACGTGTACAGCAACTATGGCAAGTTGATCATTGACTTTCCGAATGAAGACACACGGTTCAGCAGCCCTTTGCTCAAATCATGAATTCCTTGAACGACTTGTTCCAACATCGTGGACTCTGCTTCAATCCATAGAGAGATTTCTTTAGGTGGCACACAAGATTTTCTTTTCAGGGAACAACATAACCTTCTGGCTGCTCCATATAGATGTCTTGGTCAAGTGTTCCATTTAGGAAAGCGGTAACGACATCCATTTGATGGATAAACATATTTCTCGAAACAGCAAACGCCAAAAGAGCTCGGATAGATGTAAAGAGAACGACAGGTGAAAATGTTTCAACAAATTCGATCCCGTACTTTTGTAGAAAACCTTTCGCTACAAGACGTCCTTTAAACAGATCGATCTTCCCATTTTCATCATGTTTGACTTTAACCCATCTGCAGGTAATTGCCTTTCGTCCGGGTGGCAGTTCGACAAGCTCCCAGGTGTCAGTTTCCATTAGAGATTGATATTCAGAATCTGCAGCTGTCTTCCAGTTTTCCGCATGATCACTTTCGAGAGCTTTCTTCAACGTTTTCGGCTCTTCAACTTCTGTTACAAAGAGGGCTGTATGCTTTGCTGTTGTGATACCAGCGTATTCATCATGATAATGCTGAATGGGGTGACTCGAGTTGCTATTGTGACAACTCGGTTTCTTATGTATGCTGCTGAACAAACTGCTTCAACCCAGAAACTCTTGGGTACTCTTGGATGTAAGATCATTGATAAAGCAGCTTCCTGGAGCGTCCTGTTCATCCGTTCGGCGATACCATTCTGTTGTGGTGAGTGGGGTACAGTTGTCTCGTGATGAATACCTTTCTCTTTGAGGAAATTTTGGAATTCAGCAGACATAAATTCACCTCCATTGTTTGTCCGTAAAGTTTTAATTTTGCAATCTTCTTGATTTGTTACTACCGCTTCCCATTCTTTAAACTTATCCAACACTTCCGATTTGTGTGTAATGGGATAGACGGTTACACATCTAGAATAATCGTCAATGAATGTCATAAAGAACCTGGCACCACCAAAACTTTCGGTTTTCATTGGTCCAGCGACATCACTGTGAACAAGCTGTAATCGTTTCTTTGATTGTACTTCTCCCACTGGTTTGAAGGGTGCTCGATGTGATTTTCCTTCGGCACAGGCTTCACAGAAGTCCAGCTTCCCGGTTCCCGGTTCTAGGCATATCGGTACCTGTTACTATCTCTCTTGAAACCATCGGCCAGCGTTCAAATGAGCCATCCTTTGATGCCACATATTTATTTTGTCACTTGATCTTTCTGCAACTGACACTTGTTTTTCTTGTCTTTCTACTCTGCAGTCCAGACGATACATGTTGCCAACAAGACGACCTCTCGCTACAACCTTTCCTTGAAAGTCCTTGATCCAGCAAAGTGTATGTCCAAATTGCACCACTTTTTCTTTCGTAGCTGCCGCACGAGCACTAAATAGATTTGCGGCTAACTTGGGAACATACAGTACTTTGGTCATAGTTGATTTTCGTTCATCTTTCTTTTTAGGACCAAGCAGCATAGTAATGGATATTTCACCAGTTCCCAAAGCATGCACAGATCGACCATCTCCAAGAACAACTGGTTCTGGCTCCAAAATCTCTTGATAGTTCATCAATAAATCACGACTTGAAGTCATTTGTTGATATGCGCCTGAGTCGATAATCCAGTAGTCATCTCCTTTCATAACACTTAGTCCAACAGCAAACACATTAGCGCCACAAACATCATTCTTATCAGTGTCCCCATGAGCAGGAGCTGCATTGTGCTTTGATGATTTGTCAAATTTCCCTTGATTTTTATTTCGTCGATACTGTTTTTTTCTTTTTTCTGAGGACAATTTGGAATAACATGACCTTCTCCACAACCATAACACTTAATAGGCTTTCGATCTAACTTGTTATGTTGCAATGCAGATTCGCAATCCTCAGCTCCACCACCACCACCGACTTTACTCTTACTTTGCTTGCGTTTTTCTTCCTCGTTTAACAATGCTTGATTCAGTTGACTCAGGTTTAGTTCATCTCCTTTGGCAGTTAGTGCGGTTACCAAGGTGTTATATGAATGTTGTAGACTTAATAATAATGCATGCGACTATATGCTCACCCTCTGGAATTGGTGCTTTGATAGCGGCCAATTGATCAGTAATCACTTTCATCCTTCGCAAGTGTTCATCAAGAGAATCTGACTCTTTCACTTTTAGGGAGAAAACTCTTTGCTTCAGAAATAATTTGTTCGCAATCGTATCTCGTTCAAAGCGTTGCTTTAACTTATCCCATATTTCTTTTGGAGTTTGGCATTCGGTTATAAGGTAAATAAGATCCGATTTAATAGACGTAACTATGAGAGCTTTTGTCTTCTTTTGAGCTTTTTCAAACGACGCAGTTGCCCCAGAACTGCTGTCCGATCCACTTGGGCGAGTTAGTGTTCCATCAGTATGACCATACAATTAATTCTCTAGCTTCCAAAATTGCTGTCATCTGATACTTCCATATTTGCCAATTCTTCACACCATCAAGTTTATCGATTGATAACTTGTCTTCCTGGGCCATTGCGATAAAAATATATACTACAACAATACCTTCACTTGCTATTTCACAGTTTTGCGTTGTCTGGGCCCATAACCTGTTGATTTTATGAAGAAATACCGGCCAAAATACAGCAGAAATAATATAAATCTATTTTTTTAATTAAACGACAGAACAAAAAACGTAGTGTGAACATATACATGCGCCTGCGATATTAGCGTCCGTATTAACTACTCAGTACTTTATATAAGCAGTACATATAATGTGTGAGTGTCTATAAAATCTATTAGTTCCAACATTGCTATGTGTTGCTATGTATTGCTATGTGTTGCTAAGCCATTAGACGACAAGTCGGGACAAGAAGGTAATTAAGAGATTAGGTGAACAGGGATTTGCATAACTTAATGATCCAAATGGATTGATAGGGATATTATGCCTTTACTTGTTTGGGGTGAGCCCAATTTATTTGATTTTTATGCCAAGCGAACTGTAATACCTTGCTGGCCGTATGGCATAATTCAAGTCCCTCACATGGCAAACTTTTGTTATCGAAATGAATATACAGGGTGTCTAAAAAAAAGCTATGGAAATTCAACAGGCTGTCGTGCATCATAAACGTGGCTAAACAATTCAATTTTTAAATAGCCATTTGGTCGCGTTATCTTATTGTGTTTGGTCGCGTTACCTGTCACATTTGGCTCAAACTTGCCCAGCAAAGTGACGTCATAAATTTTGCAAGCTCATTATAAATTCCGTCAGAGTGTTAGCTGAACAAGTGACGTCATAGATTTTGCAAGCTCGTTATAAATTCAGCCATATGGGGGTCTATTATTACTGTCATGGCAATGACGACAGATCCTCCATGTTTTTGGCGACACTTTTTGATGCCGATCAGGTCCCCATTAATATAGTATAGCTCAGTACCACCCATGCATAGACATGCGCCCACGATCATTGATAAACTTTAGACTTCGCTAGTGCGTTCCTTTCCCTGGGTGAAAATAGCCATGCGGAATTAGTACCCTCGCCCCGGGCTTACGCCCGAAAGGCGCTCCGCGCCGTTGGCTCGGGGATAATGGAGAATTTGGCAACCTTGAACGACAACGGCAACGGGGGGAAATATAATCATACTAATTTTATGTAATGGTTTCTACTAAATTTATATAATTCTTATTAGGTTTGCGCTCCAAGATATAGTGAAATAGACGAAAATAAGTATTATATGATAGGAAAATGTACTGTGGCATATGAAGACATTGAAAGAATTCGACTGTATCCATGTACTGGAGAGGAGCTGGGCCACGATTTATCAAGTAAGTTCAAAGAAAGGAAACCATCTTTGAATTTCAATACATGTGTTAAAAATATTAGTAGATGTATCCCTACCAACGAAATCTTGTTTATATTATTGGCTGATGGCACTACCTACATGTTATGAAGACTGTTAAAACGTGCAAAAGACACTTTAAATTATTAAATTAAGAACTCAGGCTTCCCTGAGAATCGCTGCGAGCACATGTTTAGATGTAGTTTATATTTTTTGTGTAAAGGCATTTTACAAGTAAACCCTGAGATTTTCGACGATGTTTTGATTTCTTTTTGCGTAGAGTTCGATATTTATTACATGGCGCCCAACGTGTGGCCTATTGTCAAGGTATTTAATAAAATATGAGCGAGGAAAAGGCGATTCTAAAATCACGAGATTTCGAGCCGTTAGAGTCGAAGACGAACAACTAAATCGAGGGAGATTAAGAACCTTAACGGATTTGCTAAACGAAAAACGAGACTTGTTATAAATAGTTGCGAGGTTAGTGATATTGCAAACGAGATCGAAGAAGCAGACGAACTGAATTCACGAATTTTAGACGTACGTACAACGAGAAATAAAGGACGTACTCAAAGATGTCAATCAATCAATCAATCAATCAATCTGTCAAATTTCCAGGGCTTCATCATATAACAGATCTGGATAAGCTATTCTCAATGCTCTCTTTTGAACACATTCGAGAATGTCATGTAATGATTTAGGTATTGACGACCACACAGGGGATGCATATTCAATTCTGGATCTAATGAATGAGATATATATTTGTACAATGTGTGATGCTTGAAGACCAGCCTTTTTTAACAGACGCAATGCGTATAAGCGAGAATTTGCCTTTTCAATACCATGTCAACATGAGTATTCCATGACATTCGTTTGATATCCATACACCTATGAGCTTGAAAGAGGACACAGTTTCCACCGGTTTACGTGCAACATAGATCGGGTTTTCATCATCAGATCCTTTATATTTAAGAAAGTTGATCAACATCTGTTTGCATTTCTTATAATTTAGTTCGCAGAGGGAGGCTTTAATCCACCGAATTATGGAGGGATGGGTACCAAGCAGGGTTAACTCTTTAATAATAACATTGTGATCTACTAGATCAAAACCTTTCTTAAAATCTGCAAAGAACAATCTAGCAGTACAGGAACCTCTCTCAAGAGCAACCAAGATTGAATGTAAAAGGTACACCAAAGCGTGGGTTGTTGATTTCTTCGGGAGTGCAAATTGTTTAGTGTCAAGTTTATTTACAACTTCAGGAAAAAATTTGTCCAAAGCACAATCCTCCATAGCTTTGGCGATCTGAGATGTTAAAGATATTGGCCGTAGGTCGTCTTCAATGCTCTTTGGGGGTAATACCTTAGGGACAGGCACTACAATAGATCTCTTCAATGCCTTCGGGAAGGTGCCTTGTGTCATGGATGGGTTGAAAATGTCCGAGATAACTGGGGCAAGCTCAAAAGCAAATGTTTTCAGAATTTTATTTGGAAACATGTCAGGACCCGGTGATCTTGTGGTTTTAATTTTACGAAGTTTCCTATAGATCTGTTGGGCGTCGATGAGGTAATCATTTGGTACTTCTAGGTCCTCCTGGTTTTCGTCGAGAGTTAGAGAGTCAAAATGTGATGTAAGGGCAGTAAGAAAGTTATTAAAATTTTCGGCCAATTCTTCACAGTTCCGAACATCATCAGAAAATAACTGAGAATACTAAGAATTTCTTGACGAAAGACCACCAATGGCTTTCACTTCTTTCCACCATCTTGCCGGGTTAGAATTTTTCAATTTCTCGATTGACCTCATATAGTAGATCGTTCGTGCAACTTTAATGCATGATTGGACTCTGTTACGCCAATATTTATAAATATCTGAATTTTTCCCGCTTTCATGTAAGGCTTTTTGGCGTCTCCCAATAGCAACCTCGTTCCCAGGCTCTTTGCTCTTGGGAAGCAAAGACCCTGGTCGGAGCTGGTCACGTGACCCATAGAAAATTGATAGCCCAAGAGGGGGATGGAAATGTCTCATATTACATGTTTCCACTTCCGCAGTTCGCAGTTCGATTGCAAGGAGTGGCCGTTCTGTACAATCATCTAATCCATCTTCGAGAATCATATATCCCTCAAACTACTTGCTAAATTGGCTTCTGTTTGCTTTTAAATTATACAAACATGCTAAAATGCAGATTCTTATAGCAACAGAAAATTCAGGAAATCAAGGAACGAGAACGTATGACTGTACCGTCTGTACGCTTTGAAATATTTTTATTTTCTCGGGGTTCGCCGGTTCGGGCATAGTTAAATTTCACGCGTACGTTTCTGTTCTGGCTCTGATATTTATAATATGCTTATAATATGCCAATGAATTGCTCTAATATGGACACGGTATAAATTTTGTCAAACAGATGTCTCAAAATCGACTGTTTATAGGTCGTAGGATTATAAACGTGACACATTTGGACACAAGCCAAATAGCCTACACATTGAATGTCCATTCTATTGATTCTAAAACTGTTTATAGACATATTGCTCTAGATTTTTTTTAAAAGGTTATCATCGTTTATATTAAACACCAGGAAGATAAAATATAACGTACAAAATTGTTTGAAATCGACAGTGCGCAGCTGACATACGACAATTCACAACTGCATGAATTTCCTTTTTTGTCTGCACGAGTACCTGTTTGTTGAAGCCAAAATATTGCACAGCATCTCCTATAAATTCTATCGCCATTTACCCTCTCCCCTTAAATGCAAAGGAATGACAGCACAAAAGGTTTAGCAGAGTATTTTTTATTACATCTGGTATAAAGTGTCCTACGTTTTATCAGGGATATACATAATTCATAAACTGTATATGATGCACACGCACGAAGTCTCGCTTATATTAATGAGTTTTACTGCAACAAACCTTTTAAAGTTTCCCTTGATAGATAGGTTGCTTACCTCCAGTATTTTTTGGTAAAACAGATTAAACTTCTAAAATGTCGCTTACAGAATACGTTATAAAGGATTAAAGTTGATTTAAATACTGATAACTCACAGCGGCACTAATCCATTATACAAGTCTAAAAAAGCTGGATTATTCTTCAATAAAGCCCTCAATGGACAATGCCAATGTCAATGAAAGGTCTAATATTATACATGTTGCAAATTACTGTATATACAAAATATGAAATAATTTATATAAAGTACAATACCAGTGTCTGGTGCATATATCGTCCTAGATATTCAAGTTGTACCGCACGCACGGAAACCACGGAAGCCAGTCTTGGCGTTTGTGTGATAACAGATAGCTAGCTACACTTCGACATTATTTTTCTTGATCGTTGAGTTTCAGCAATGTAAATGAAATGAATTTTATAGCCAGTCCATAACGGGTTTTAATCCTGTGCTTTAGCCTTTTACAGTCAAAATAGCACTATTGTTTACACATGTTGGCGATGTTTGGGAAATCAAAGGATCCCGTTATAAAATAAATCTTTTGTTTTGAATATCAGACAGGATACACTTCAACTATAAAGAGCCATATCGTTCGTTTAATACCGTTTGATCGATCAGTCTGTGTAGAAGATATGTATGTTTCTACGGATACGTGCTAAACTTCGCAAGCCAGGCGCGTGTGGAGTGTTTTCCTTGCAAGTGAAATATGATCCAGCTTCTCGCTTGAAATGTAACGCAACACTTATTATTGATGACATTCAGTATAGCAGGAAGTCTTGTCATGATCGGTACGAATTTAGAGCAGTTCCTTTCACAATCTCTTGTTGCAAATTACATTTTTATCACCCGAAATTATAACACATAAAGTTGCAATTTTCCAAACGCAACAAACAGTCTCCTCTACTACCCCTCCCTGAGGTCAAATTCAATTTACCCCCAAAGTCTGGGGTTTCACGTGACCAGCTCCGACCAGGATCTTTGCTTCCCAAGAGCAAAGAGACTGGGAACGAGGTTGTCCCAATAGCAGATTTTATTGATGACGTCATCCAAGGCTTATCACACTTTCGTACTTTAATCCGTTCCAAAGGAAAGAAATTTTCGATCATCGTGATCATTGTATCGTTAAACTTTTCATATTTTGCATCACAGTCATGTATGTCCAAGATGGGAGACCAATCAAATGTAGTGATATATCGTCCAAAAGGCCGTATCCTGCTATCTCTGAGATCGCGTTTCCATATATGTGAATTGTCTGGCTTTGAGGGGGAAGGTTGGGCTTTCATAAGAATCGTATAATGATCACTAGTTCCAATGGGAGGGAGTTGGATTGATTCATAAATGTTATCCACCTTTGAGTTGGTTAAATTAAACACCCGTCTAAAGTTACATCAGCTCTGGTAGCAACCTTGACTATCTGCGTCAGACCAGCAATTCTTTTAAGATGGTTTGCATCGAGACCCGTGCTTCTAAAATTGAAGTCGCCTGTAATTAGGACTAGAGCTTCAGGGTGAGAATATAAAAATGAGTCAACATTGGTTTGAATTTCTACATTTTCAGTTTGGCGGGATGCTGTGGAGTGGTAAACAACAGCCAGTAAGATAACCGAGATAGAGCGGGGTAACTTCTTTGGTCTCACTGATAACCACAGTGACTCAATCGAAGAGTTTTCAAATTCCTCAATTGGTCTACAATAAATATTGCTATTTATGTAGGCACAAACACCTCCGCCGTTTGAAACCAGTCTATCGTTCCTAAACAGATTGAAATTGGATAAGGATACCAAATTGTCAGGAATTGCAGGGGATAACCAAGTCTCTGTAATGCAGACCATGGTCGTTTGATTCAAAGACACCACAGCGTCAAGTTCGTCGATCTTGGACGTGAGGGAGCGGAGATTACAAATTAAAAGGTTTGGTAGTTCGGTGGAGGGTAACGTAGATACAAATTTTATGCGTTCAAGTGTATTAATTTTTTGGGCTGAATGGGGGTATCGTGATGGGGTCGATTCTGGTAAATCGCTGATCGGGGAAAGCATATAGGAATACGTGTGGAGGAGGACTCAAGGGAAATACATGGAGTGGAGCTCTGTTTAGAAGGATTTACGTAAATCCTTCTGTTTAGAAGAATTTGCGAAGTCACTGCAGAAAAATACAATCGAAGATTCAAGCGATATCGGAAACGAAGTATTATCAGTACCAGAACAGAGTTCAGAACAGTCTACGATTCAGGAAATACAAATAGAAGCAAGTGGAAGTACCAGTTTAAGCACAGCAAATGATGCACCTCAACAAGGCCGGCGAGAGCCAACCACGGGCCCCGGGACAAAGCGAATTACACACAAGAAATGGCCACACATTTGGTACGTTTTACGATCGATGACGACGCTCAGCGGATAGTGTGCAAGTAGGCGCATTTCATTTATGACAAACATAAAGCGATGATAAACAATACGAACATTTTCCCTAGATTTCCTGGCCCCTCTGAGCACTCAGGGCCCCGGGTATTTTGCTCCCGGCCCCCCTCTCGCCGGCCTTGCACCTCAGCCAACGCCCACAGAGGCAGGTGCAACAAATCCAAACCCAATTAATCATGTTAGCATTGATCATTCTGTCACGCCATTGCGTTAATATCAATCACAATTGCCCAAGCTTGTTCTACCAAAGTTTAAAGGCGACATTACGCAATGGAGAACATTTTGGGGCAGTTTCAACAATGCTGTGCATACCACCCAATTTCTAACTAATATAGACAAATTCAACCATTTGAATTCGTTACTAGAAGATCAAGCTAAGCGTTCTATACAAGGTTTGGCTTTGTCTGAGCAAAATTATCAAGCAGCCATTGACATATTGCAGCAAAGATTTGGCAATCAACAGCTTGTCGCCTCCACTCACATGGACGAGCTCCTAAAAATTCCGGCATTTGCTGGTGATAAGGCTTCCCAGTTGCGATTTACTTTGAGTTGGTTTCATTGGAGACTGGAAACATGTTAATAAAGGAACAACTCAGGGTAGTGTGAGTGGTCCACACTTATTTATTAACATCTTTTTAAATGATCTTGAGATTCCGTTGGTAATAACGTGTGACTTATTTAAATATGCAGATGATGCTGATATTATTTATCCTGTCTGGAAGGAAGCTTATTTATCCTGTCTGGAAGCAAAATTACCCCCAAGATATACGCTTTCAAAACGCGAGAAAAACGTCCAAGGAGGTCTGGGATATCTCAGAAATATTAGATGCAATCCGAAATGAAGCGGAAGCCCGGGAAATGAGCGAAGGTGTTAAGGTGATTCAAAATGAAAAACCAGGGTATCAGTCCAGACCCCCATGTGTCTATTGTAATGGTGATCATTTCTCAGCATCATGTAAGAAGGTTCGAGATAGACATGCACGAACAGAAATATTGCGAAAGGATCGAAAATGTTATGTTTGCCTAATGTTTGGGCACAGTGTGATCCAAAAAGATCTTGTCGAAAATGTCAGGGCAAATATCATCAATCGATTTGCTTGCAGTCATGTCAACCCCCCGTCAAGCCCCCAATCAACACCCTGGCAGTCAACACTCTGGCAGTCAACCCCCTGCCAGCCCTCTAAATGCAGGTTCTAAACCATTCAGTCCTGCAAACACACCTGCAACTGGGAACCAACAACCATCCACAATTGCTACAGTTCAATCACAACCTGCCAGCAACAGCAAGCACTCAAATGAAAGGCGGTGTCATGCTTCAAACTGCAACAGCATCTGCAATCAGTTATGATGGATCAACATCTATTCCTGTCAAAATTCTATTTGACAGTTGGAGTCAGCGGTCTTATGTCAGTGACCATCTCAAGTCCAAGTTGGGTCTCAAGTCGCAGAGATACGAAAGTCTCCACCTTAACACGTTTGGCGAAAAAAGGTTTCGAAGGTACATAGTAAGTAACATCATAACGAATACAACTGGCTGATAAATCTAATGCAAGCGATCCCATAGACGGTCTAATCGGTTCTGACTACTATTGGGACATTGTTGGAGGTGAAATTATTCGAGGCCAGTCGGGTCCCGTAGCAAGTTTGGATGGCTTTATCTGGGCCGAGGACAAAAGAGAATTAGTAGTGATAGACCCAATATGGCGGCGGAAGTAATTAGTATGCAAGTCTAATTTGGCAACGGAAGTAATTAGTATGCAAACTTAGGTGCCGGAAGTAATGAGCTTGCAAAATCCATGACGTCACTTTGTTCAGCTAACACTCTTGGCCGAATTTATAATGACTTGCAAAATCTATAACGCCAGGTCGCGCGACCAGTTAACGCGGGCAGGCCTGGGCCAAATGTGGCAGGCAAGGCGATCAATTAGCATCACAACTAGTTTCTGAAATAGAGGGATTACTGTCGATTTTTTACCTTTACAGATGTTGCTAGCGTTCTCATATCTAATATTTAAATCCCGGTCTGCCATATGAAAAGTGTACAAGAGAATATGTTGTTGTCTGGAGTTTTATAAGCACAGCTATAGCATTTTTGCTGTTATTGTCAAGTGATTTCTATAATTTAGCTCCTAGAGGAATAAAAAATCTGATACTATATGAAATAGCATGAGTGTTATATATCTAAAACTTATATATTTCGGGTATACAGCTATATGTTTTGTTGTTAAGTAATATATAAATATTATCAAGCGTCAAAACGCTGAGAAATATCATGCGGTATGTATCTACAATTAAACTAATATTTAAATCCCGGTCTGCCATATCGCGTCTCTATGAGAGAATATGTTCCTGTCTAGAGTTATATAAACACATGGAGGTTAGAGGTCGTGATATATAATTGTCAAGCGATTTCTATATTTTAGTGCCAGGTTTTTAAAGTACTAAAGCTCGGATAAGGTTAATAAATTTAAGCTAGGGCCTATATTAAAGCACACCGGTTGCTATAGGATTTACTTTTATCAATGATTTGCATTTTCTACTGTGTGGATAAATACGGCTAGATTAGGATATTCATTGCGCGGGCGTCGCGTGTTATCCGTGCGGGTTGGAAACACAACAATAAGGAGGCTTATATTGGAAGAGAGAAAGCAATTTAGACAAGACAGGAGCGCTTTTCAGCCGAAAGTTTACACAAGAATTCAGTCTTAAAATACATTTATTTCTTCGAGACGTTTACAAAGTTAATGTGGTCTACTTCTTAGAGCATAATGTGTTGATTTTATTTGAATTACGCACAACAATTAGCTACAATTTAAATATTTTTTGTAATAAGAGTCGTTTGGCTTTATTGTTCATTAGCCATGGTTTCTATACTCCTAGCTCTATATCGACCCAACATCGACCTTACACCGACCTCACAGCGACCTCACATCGATCTCATATCGACCCTACATCGACCCTACATCGACCCTACATCGACCCTAAGATAATGATATCCTAAGATATTGATATCCTAAGATACTGATATCCTAAGATACTGATATCCTAAGATACTGATATCCTAAGATATTTATATACTAAGATATTGATATCCTAAGATACTGATATCCTAAGATACTGATATCCTAAGATACTGATGTCCTAAGATATTGATATCCTAAGATATTGATATCCTAAGATATTGATATCCTAATCGAATCATTGATTGAGTCATTGAATCCTACATTGAATCATTGAATATATCAATATCTTAGGATATCAGTATCTTAGGATATCAGTATCTTAGGATATCAGTATCTTAGGATATCAGTATCTTAGGATATCAATATCTTAGGATATCGATATTAATATCTTAGGATATCAGCATCTTAGTATATCAGTATCTTAGGATATCAATATCTTACTAGGATATCAATTATATCTTAGGGTATCAGTATCTTAGGATATCAATTATATCTTAGGATATCAATATCTTAGGATATCAGTATCATAGGACATCAATATCTTAGGATATCAGTATCTTAGGATATCAGTATCTTAGGATATCAATATCTTAGGATATCAATATCTTAGGATATCAGCATCTTAGGATATCACTATCTTAGGATATCAATATCTTACGATGATATATATAGGTTATCATATAAGGGATGAGGTGATATTAGTTTTATCGCTCGAACGATGATATCACAATTGTCACGAGCGAGCGCAGCGAGCGAGGGACAATTGTGATATCGTCCCGAGAGCGATAAAACTGATATCACCGAATCCCGAGTACGATAACAGTTTTGAAAAAATAGGATCATTTTAGAATTCAAAACAATTCATCATTTACTGAACAAATATGATTTTAGAAAATAAATAGACCATTCATATAAATAATATACAATTTAAGTCTTTCGTTTTGTATTATCGTTCTTGTTTTCTTCGATAAACTGTCGACATCAACCAACACGAACCTCGAGTCAGCCATCTTTGTTTTGACAAGGCGCGAAATTTAGCGGGACCAAAAAAAAACGATATCCGGGACAAAAAACGATATCCGGGACGATATCGTTTTTATGTCCCGCTGCTTCCTACCTGATAAAGGTACAAGTATGTGATAA